GGCGGAACATTGGATATCTGCCTTTAAGCTCGTTCTCCCCCCCTAAAAGAACGAGCGGTAAGGTTTCGTGCCAGTTGCCGTTTTCGTGTGCTCGTAGAACACTTTTAAGTTGGCAGTGAAACCGTTCAACTTAACCATTTGGTGCTGGGTGGTAGACGGATATGCTTATGCGTATGCATTCCGTACCAAGCAGCCGGGTCAGCGAGGAGAATCGTTAATAGGGTAACATTTCTCGAATAGAGCGTGGAATTCATCATCACGCGAATAAAAAGTGACAAGGATTCGGTACACATACGTGTGAGTCTATTATATTAATACTATTCTTATCGTTATCCGTCATGTCGCGTATATTATATATTAAAAAATATGAAAATATACGACAGACGTGGATAGATAAATCATAGACTCACCGAATTGGCTTCTTTGGAAGATTTGACCAGAAGCTGAGGCGTGTTCCAAAATACGGGTCACCAATTGTAGTCGAATTGGGATTACCAATTGTAGCGTGGCGTCGAGTTGAGATTAACTGTGAACACCGCTACCCAGAAACACGTGCCAGACAAATCAGAAGGCGAGGATCGATCGTAACCAGATTTATTTCGTTGGCGATCTCGTGGTATTGAACGAATACCGAGATCGTGCCAAGGAATGGTACAAGTGAAAGCAGAAACGGGAGTACGTGCGAGCAGTACCAAAAACCGCGGAACAATTATGGAAGGTAATGGAAGCACAAAATGGCTACAATTAGCACAGTTAAACAAAAGCACATTAAAACAAACACTGGTACAGTTGGTTATAATAATAATTGTTTTTATTAAACCAGTCGTGTTCTCGTGATAAACGTGAGTCACTACAGGAGCCCCCCGCTAGAAAGGGTTAACACTTTCGATAAATGGCGGTTTAAATCGTGGGACTGATCGGCTAACGAGCGATTGTAGGACGGGAAGATTGGCGAACAGGAAAGCGATCGTTGATCGTCGAGTTGCCAACGAAGGTCGTTTTCGGAGAACGGTACCAGGAGCGATGTGTTGTATTGATTGCTCGAGTTGGCATGCTACCAGAGTGGTTTGTATCCAGAATCTGAAGAGGGCGTTCGTACGGGTCCGGACCATAAACGCTGCAGAAAAGGGACGAAACCACGTTGAGCCAAAAGACCAGAAGCGACCGAAACGACCAAGTTCGAGACCAAGCGTATGCCAAGCATTCGAAACCAATATATCGACTGAGTACGTTGACAAGAGCGTGGGTGATCAGGCCAGCTTTCGCCAAAGTTGACTGAAGTCGACGGAACCAAACGGAGATGGTCGAAGGCGTGGGCTCAGGAAACAAAAAGAAAATCAAAAAAAGAGTAGTGTAGCATGCAAGTAGCATAGGAATATTCCTACACCGTATCGGTTGTCGACTGTGCGACTAATCGAGGAAGCGTACGGGTAACCGTACTCGGCGACCGGAACGTGAGACGGCAGTCTCGTTCGCGTCGCGTGAGCTTGCAATCTCATCCGAGGTCAGAGGCGGCGTGGTCTGCTGATCTGGACGTGAGACTATCGTCTCGTCCGTAGACGGTGCAGATGACGCGTGCTGTTGACCGGGACGTGAGAATGAGGTCTCAGATGCATCTAGCGTGGGACCTGAAGATTTAAGGATCCCGCTAGGTTTAATAGGTCTAGCATTGAATCTCAGGTTACCAGATAGGGCACTGTCATCGACGTGTGCTGGTTTGAGACGATCAACGCTGACGATCTCGACGCGTCCATGTCGATCAACCTTGAAGGTCTTTTCGTGACGAGCGATCACGTGAAAAGGGCCTTCGTAAGGTTGTTGCCAAGGTTTGCGTACCGAATCTACTCGTACAAAACATGTGAACAGGTAGATAACTCTCGAGGGAGAGCGACCTGTCGATGTTGAATTCGAGTTGACACCGGAGACAGCGTTCGCATAAATGCAGACAGTCGTTGGACGTTGTCTGATTTACCGAAATTAGGTCTGCTCCGTGGTGTGAAGGATTCTCCGGGCAGACGCAATGTCGTGCCGTATACAAGTTCAGTGGCGGAACATTGGATATCTGCCTTTAAGCTCGTTCTCCCCCCCTAAAAGAACGAGCGGTAAGGTTTCGTGCCAGTTGCCGTTTTCGTGTGCTCGTAGAACACTTTTAAGTTGGCAGTGAAACCGTTCAACTTAACCATTTGGTGCTGGGTGGTAGACGGATATGCTTATGCGTATGCATTCCGTACCAAGCAGCCGGGTCAGCGAGGAGAATCGTTAATAGGGTAACATTTCTCGAATAGAGCGTGGAATTCATCATCACGCGAATAAAAAGTGACAAGGATTCGGTACACATACGTGTGAGTCTATTATATTAATACTATTCTTATCGTTATCCGTCATGTCGCGTATATTATATATTAAAAAATATGAAAATATACGACAGACGTGGATAGATAAATCATAGACTCACCGAATTGGCTTCTTTGGAAGATTTGACCAGAAGCTGAGGCGTGTTCCAAAATACGGGTCACCAATTGTAGTCGAATTGGGATTACCAATTGTAGCGTGGCGTCGAGTTGAGATTAACTGTGAACACCGCTACCCAGAAACACGTGCCAGACAAATCAGAAGGCGAGGATCGATCGTAACCAGATTTATTTCGTTGGCGATCTCGTGGTATTGAACGAATACCGAGATCGTGCCAAGGAATGGTACAAGTGAAAGCAGAAACGGGAGTACGTGCGAGCAGTACCAAAAACCGCGGAACAATTATGGAAGGTAATGGAAGCACAAAATGGCTACAATTAGCACAGTTAAACAAAAGCACATTAAAACAAACACTGGTACAGTTGGTTATAATAATAATTGTTTTTATTAAACCAGTCGTGTTCTCGTGATAAACGTGAGTCACTACAGTCTCTTGGTTTAATATTTCATTTGTGGATGAGCTGTTTAATTCACAACGTTGATAAATTACTGTGTCATTTGTTGTTAATGCTCGATCTAGATTAAAATTTAATACATTATTGTAATTGGCTCATGGGTATGAAAGAATATCTACCATAGGAACAAACATGACCTTCTCTGATTACGTGAGAAGACATGAGATAGCTTATTAATGAAACTATCTGTGTATTTCGAAAGTACATTTCAAATGTACGAAAGTTCCACTTTGAAAATTTGATCAATTATTGTCATGGTGACCTGCTCTCAGTTGTTAAATGTACTCGATACAAATGGTATGTACGAATTGATGTCTCAGCACTCAGTTCATCAGACTCTTCAACTACGTTTTACTGCACGGCAGTATGATAATTATGTAAAATCACCGTTGTCGAGAAATTCGACATATGGCTAGCGGTGTCATTCACTCGTCTGTTGAACGACCATCCAGTGACGCGATATGATCAGTACATGACCTGTTCTTGCGGAGGCCAGATTGTTGATCTCTAAGTCAGGGTTCGCTTAGTCCCTCATTCTGTTCAGAAACAATCCATTTGGAAACTTTGCCTGTTAATGATACTAGTTTGATGCCTCTGTAGTTTTCACACAATACCTACTAACATCTCAGAAATGGTACCTTTTCAGTCCTTCCCTACAGTGGTTTCCTGAGATTGAAATAAATTTTAGGATGCATGTACCACGTTTTTGAGAGCTATGCTGAATTTTCTGAGTTTGTTAGCATTCCAGAGGAAGGTTTTAGTAAATATTCGTTGAGTTGCTGGTCAATCAGTAGCAAGCATATTTGTACGATATCAGTATTATTGAATGATTGCCCCAAATCTCTCATTAAGATCTTGAGACAACAAATTTTTCTGTCCCACGAAAATGAATGGATTGAAAGCAGTGACCTCATCGTCAATTATTGTCGGTCAGTAACTTCACTCTCTCGCCGTTTCAGATATCAGTCCCTTTCGAAGTGAATGTGAGGCTATAATTATTCAAAGCACTGTTGTCTATGTTGTTTTTGATCAGGGACCAGAGTTTAATCAAAAATTGAATCGCATCAACTTGCCTATGTGATTGATAGTATCACAGTCACATTATTCCAGTTTAACTATTCAAAAGACGATAATAGACTTTGCAGTAGTAACGTGACAAACGTTTAAGCCTACATAGGAGTGTTTTTTACCAGGGAAAATGCAATCACTGGTAAAATAGTCGTTCTTAGATGGTGCTCTTTACAATCGATAAGGACATTTGATCAAGCTCGATTGTAAAAATGGAAAAAATATTCCTATCAGTCAAGTAACAAAATCCTACTCGAAGAAATGCTATTAATCAGTACAATTTGCTCCAAATATGAGAAACCTCCTGGAAAATAATATTTTATAATACATGCAATGGACTACCAGTTGTCTTATATAGGATTACTTATATAGGATTATATAAGAAAGTCATGAATCAAAGATTATCTGGTCCCAAAGCAACCTCAAATGAGTTAAAATGATAATAAAGGAACTCTTTATAGACTGGCTTATTCGTAGGCTGTGTTTGTCAAAGATTGACATCTTTAGGAAGTTATCGACATCGAAGCAGCACTGGACAGCTTTTTCATCCTAGGTTTAGAACTCCTACGTTTCCCATAATCAATTGTGTCATTTTTTATGGCCCTAGGAGGACTTTCGAACAATTCAATAAATGCTTATGATAGCGTTGCCCTAAAGAAGTTACAATTTTCGTGGAAATATTAACTACATTAAAATCAAAGGATACACACGGTTGCTTCAACGTGCACTAACATCAATCAAGCTGTGGCCACTTTGAAAACTTCTTATTATGGTAAACTTGATGATATTCTTAGATTGTTCATAACATGTGGTAGTAATGACTTTTTTATTATTGTATTGGAAATGCTTTGACCTACATGAGCGAATTCAGCATAGCTCTCAGTAACGTGATACATACATCCTAAAATTTATTTCAATCTCAGGAAACCACTATAGGGAAGTACAGAAATTCGTACATACCATTTGTATCGAGTACATTTAACAACTGAGAGCAGGTCACCATGACAACAATTGATCAAATTTTCAAAGTGGAACTTTCGTACATTTGAAACGTACTTTCGAAATACACAGATAGTTTCATTAATAAGCTATCTCATGTCTTCTCACGTAATCAGAGAAGGTCATGTTTGTTCCTATGGTAGATATTCTTTCATACCCATGAGCCAATTACAATAATGTATTAAATTTTAATCTAGATCGAGCATTAACAACAAATGACACAGTAATTTATCAACGTTGTGAATTAAACAGCTCATCCACAAATGAAATATTAAACCAAGAGACTATGAATCGTGAAAAACAGGAAGGTAAGGTTATTCTGGTATAATATATTCAATACGAGTTCTAATCGGAATATTTTGTAGGTTTTCGATTATTATGTAATGTATACTCAGGATAGTTCATTTGGTTGCATTTAAGTTTAAAACCACCTGATGATGTACTAATGATAGCTATAAAAATTACGGCTACTGACTTGCTCCTATAGGGGCACCTAAAGCTATAGCTAATATGTTAATCAAAAATTGATGATCAATAAATTTCAGAATTCAACTGAGAAAGTATGGTATCTGTGGCATATTACGACTGTTGGATATATTTGATATAGGGTCGTGGTTAGCACCCCAATGAACCTTAAAACCCGAAGAAATATAATTATACAGTTTTCACTGACTTTCAATAGTTAATGGATAATAAAATCGCAAACAATTGGTCAGTTTTGATGGACAAGAGATGAATGACATGAAACAGCAATCACAAAACATCGAATGACTTTGACCAGGGTGAGAAATCCCTGACGTATTATATAGTATAACATTAATACCTCTGTGAAAACATTTTCCAGGCTGCAAAAGACCTTTAAAGCAACACATTCTTTAAAGAATCGTTAAAAAATTCGTTTTTTTTCGTCTCCCACAAATCAGACACATCCAAGATAACTGGCGAATATCAAATAGAATTTTTCAAAACGATATGGCAAGTTGGTCGAAACAGTAATACTTCGTCGGTGAACTCGAAATGATCAGACGCCCAGTCAATGAAGTAATGTACATGTTCTAGTATTTACAATCAACCCTAACAACACTTCTACAGATGTTTGTTTAAAATCCACGAGAAAAAGTGGTAGGCACAAATCGAACAACACACTAGAATCGGAAGAATAATCAGAAAATAAGAAATCAGGCTGCAACCTTCATCCGTTACCTACAGTAGGGTTTTTAATTCACCATCGATGACGTTCTGACAACAATTTAAGGACTGAACTGTTACCCGATGTGTTGTCTTGACCGTTCGGCCCCAAATGTTTCATCTACAGTGATAAAATATACTGCAATATTCTCAGAAGCGTTGGGAGAAAGCTCGGAAAATCAAGTCATTAACATCAAAAGCATCGTGATTTGTTTGCGCCGCTAACTTCTCATAAAGTAATGGACAAATATGAATTTACTTTCGTAGAATCCAAACTGAGGTTTAGACTGAAGAAAAACTGTCTGGGTAGTTTAGACATGCTTTTTTCCCCGTTGAAACCAAAACAAGGTGACGGTTCTAGATTGTATTAAAAATATAAATGTACGTTATTACCTAAACCAATATTTCCACCCAGTTACTAAACCAATGATTGTTCAATTAGTAAGCAAACCAATCGCAACAAACAAATTTTATTCTAGATAGTTATTCTGGATAGATCACGTACAGATTCGTTCGAATGATAATATTTGATTGCTTTATAAAACAGAGTGTTTCCAATTCTGGAAGAGTGCTTCAATTCACAATCGAAAATGCACAATTCCAGTCAATGCAAGCAACACAATGAAAAGGGGGAACAAACTAATATGACTGCCGCCAAGATTAAGTACCAACTGAAACAACATAAATGCAGTTCATGAAGGAACATGGAATATCAGTGAAGGCGTAAGAAAAATGGAACCTATAGTAAAATACAAGTACTAACAAATCAAATGGAATAAAAAACTAACAAAATGAACAACTGAAGGAATCAGTAAGAATAAATTACACGTGTATACATGGAGGGATTTTCACGCACAAAACCATCAAAATGAATCTTGCAACTCTATTCACGGTGCATCTTGAACAGAGAGAATTCTTCAAGCATCAGCAAATAGGACTATTTGTTGACCCTGTTGCTTTAAGTACTACTGTAGCTTGAGAGCAACTTAAGAGGAACGATGTTGACTAAACAGTTAAGTCTGTTGCAAGAAATCTCTGCATTACTGGTGTTATCGACTAAATTTCATCAAATAGAACAATCGCCTGTTTTAGTATAGTAATGTACAATTACACAATAGTGGTTATTAATGATCATTAACGCGATATATTTCGCAAGATTTTAAAGGATCTGATGGAAGAATCACAAAACCAGCTAGAACATTTCACAAGCGTGATGGTTAAATAAGAAGATGATCAATATCGATGTCAACTTATAATCAGTATGTAAATCAACTAGAGACCGTTGACGTAAAAGAAATGAATACGTAAACATTGTAGTCATCTAGAAACACCAGTAATTATCTACAAATCAAACCGTTAATTCAAAGAGCCAATTCATTTCAAAATTCATCCACTCAACTTTCATGTAAATGTTGTTATGGAGCCTTAATCTGGTTTGGGTTACAACCGTACAATGTTGATCCATCCGTAATATCGAACGCAAATGTGAAATCGTTAATGTTTAGTCATAAATTAAAGCAAGGCTTGCCCACGAAATGGGACGAATCGCGTTGAAATGACCAGAATTGTGTACTTAAAAAGCATGTGAAGACGGTGTTAATATTGCAGTTATAGTTCAAATATTACAATGCCTGCTATAAAAACTAACATTGAGGATTACCTGGTTTACTAAGGTTTTCCATGGTGGTCTAGCTTCAATTCACTCATAATCTCAACCATTGAAATTACTATAATATCCACAAACACCCTTCTCTGACAATAAATTATTGTTGATGGAATGTGGAAAACTTCCCCACCATCTTATATAATAAATCTACAGACGAATATAAATGGGGGAAAAGTTAGTGAGAATTGATCGTGGTTATCAGTGGGACTCAGGAAGCTCATTTTCACTCATTTGGGGTTCCTTAGCTCAATATCCCTGCATTCTGGCATTGATATAATACATTGAGACTCAAACACAATACCCTTTGCTTTAAACACTCCACGTGTTATTCATGAGCTACTGAGTCCAGACAATCACCAGCTTATCGAACGAATATAATTCTTATATGATAGACACGACCTATATATCGAGGCGATCATCATTTGATGTGCATATAACTACAAAATCCATTCCGACTATCAACGAAAACGTAACTCAAGCTCTTTCTAATAATGATATGGAGGAGAAAATATTAGGAATATTGCAGTTTTTCTCTGGTTACTAAAAACCTTGTTCTTTTGTCAGTAGTTTCTCAGGACCGATATGATGTAGTTAGTTTTGTCAGGTCTTCTGTTGATGATGATGACAATATTTAATGTCATTCTTAATAATTTATAATTGACGTTCGGTAAACGTCTGCAGAACAAATAATGGATTTAAACGTATTACTAGGGGAAGATGTATTAATGCTCCGGTCTATATTTTGGTATAAAAGGCCTAATGTAAATTTCACTTTCATGTTAATTAAAGAAGAAACAAAACTTAACTATTTACAGTGGGTAAAATAAGATATTGATTCAGAGTATAGGAGGTTTCATAGCTCCGTCAGTGGACGTCAAAACTAATGGTTTTGGTTATTTGTCTTATCTTTTCTACTATCTCAATCCTGGACGCTGCTCGAAGAGCTAAATATGTTATTAAGGCTACTTTAAATAGCCTAACTATTTATCTTAATGTAACGGCACAGAGCCAATATTAGTTCTAGATGATAACCACAGTTCATAGGTATACATGAGTAGTGTTCATCAAGAAGTGCACAAAATTTTTATCAAAAGTAAAATGGTGAATTCGATTCTCAAACTTTGTAATATGTGTTTATTTACCTACGCACATGGTTTAAAAAATATAGAAGAGCGAATTTCGGGGAACATAAGGTATAGAACTCCTTCTCCGAATGACTACCAGTTGGTTATTTCTAGTTTTAGTTTACGCAGTATCACTATACTGTTGTTTTATTTTTCTTGTTTCAATTTGTAAATTATCCTCGTGAGGACTTATAAAAAATTACATATAAACAAAATTGTTAAATCTCACCAATTATGCGTCCTTTAAGTGGTAGGTTCACCAGACGTTAAATTTTTGGAACGTTCACTAGTAAATGACGTTATTCAAGATGCATTCAAAGCGGAACTTAGGAAGGACAATGAAATACTTCACTTAAGCAATGATCAGAATAACATTGAATTAAATTTAGCAGAAGATGAAACATATGACTCTGATGACTCTAATGCATATGTGAGAAGACGTGTGGCAGAACTTAACTTGGAATTATCGAAGGAAAAAGAATATTTTGCTGATAACTATGAAAAAAAGACAGGACGTGTCAATTTTCATCCACAACTTTTTTATTCACGGATAATAAGCCAGAATAATTGTGAAGATTTAAATTTCAGCGAGGACGAAATAAACAAGTTGAAGAATTTAAGTCATAATGAAGATGATACAATGAATAAGTCAATTATGAACGCAAATCCAAGATATTTCCAACAGCGGACGTCTGTTATACCAGGACCTGTTAATATCAGTGAGAATAACTTAGGTGGATATGAGTCTCTAATCTCAAAAGAAAGTAATGTAGAGGAGGCCGACAAAAATTTGATTGACAGTAAGTTATCTATGAAAGGTTTGAAGATTAAAAGTTCTCTCTGATGGAATTGAAGTTAAATAGACTCAGTAAGACTAAAATCAGGCTCAATTAGTTGTTTTAATCATTTGAACAAGTTGATAATACATTATATGAAGTTAAAAGTCAGTTTTAGTGGTCATATAGTCACTGCAAACAAATATTGTGAATAGACTATTAAGTTAGGGAGTAATATTTGATGAAACCGGTAAAGCAATAGGATTTTAGTTTGTTTGTCACTTTTTGATTCAAAGTGTATGGAATAAATCGTCCATATAGGTTACAAACTAACTCAAACAAGTAAGCTGTATGATGTGTTCTACCACAGCTTATTCCAACTAGTTCTTTACATTATGTATGAACGGTCACAGAATAGTCACTTGAAGAGCCATGCTAATTCGTAGTCACTGATATTTATTATTAACTAAATAGGGATTTGTTTTTGTTGGTCCATAGTATGATTTAAATTACTAAATAAAAGTGTCAGATAAAAAGGCTTAAATTTAACGGTGCGAGTGTGCCACTTATATTGACATAAGGAGTATATGATGTTAGTCGTGAACAGAAGTTCTGGCAGCAGAGAGACAAGAGGATCGAAGAGTAAAGAATGGAAACAAAATGCAATTTGTATGAAACTGCAAGAACAATGAAGTCTGGGTCATTTTGAGACAATCTATGGACATTTTGCAAATTAAGCATTTACTTAATGATTGTCAGATTTTATTAACAAGTCCTGTAATTTTGTGTTAAATACATTCGATTGTTCCCCACTGGTTTGGGTTAACTATACGAGAACCTTAATCACTTATTAAAGAATATGTGTAACTGACTACTTTTAGTCAGAACTATAATTAAGGATTTTATTTCTGCTTTTTTTACAACTTATTTATAAACCCAAGTTAATTTTGAGAAGGATTTATGGGTAGCTGGAGTATTCTGATGGATAAAACAAGTTGAAACAAATATATATATTGGTTTATCCGGCTTCAGCAAAATAATTTCAACTTTCACGAAATTTTTGTTGTTCAGATAAAATCTATAAATGCGAAAGAAAACTGATAAGCGTTCGCCACTCCATTCATTCTTTGGTTTAACGAATAGTTTGCTGGACTGTTTTGCTAATTGTATAGTTTGTAAGTTTAGATCCGTTTGCCTCCCATTTCACAGTATTGTTTTAAATTATATATCCTGAACACTCATATAGGAGGGTTTTCAGAGTGGCAGACAAATATCGAAGTACATCAATATGGAGCTATAATGTCATGGTAGTTTCATACGAGGACAAAACGGCCGTCCAGTGCTTCCACCTTTTCAGTGGTGCTCTAACATTCATCCATTAATGGTATCAACCCTAACTCAACAATCTCCACAACCCTATACTGACATTTATAAAAGGCTGGCTTTTAAATTAAGGCAACAAAAATTTACCTGTCTAGAAGAAGAGCTGTCACTCATATTGTTTATACAAAAAACGAGCAACAAAAGCTATCTTAGCAATCAGAAAATTTGGTGAATTTTTATATTGCACATATTTTGGTGACAAAGTTAAGAAACGGGATTACGATTTGAAATGTAGTTTGCATAACAATATATATTTCGCCTTTAAGAACCAGGGTGTTCATGTTCATATTTTGGTAAGTGTATTATTATTACGAAATCGAATGGTTTATGACAATTTTTTTCTTCCTTATACACGGAGATGATTCACTTAGTGTGTTAAAAGTAAATACATTATTTTTATACCACTATCTTGCGTGTTCCTCTAATTCATGAATATCGTATTTCGCTTTAGCCATTTATTTTTCCGCTTTCACTTAAAATCGTTTTTGTTGAATAATTTCTTTTCTCGTCTTGTTAAGAATAACCGAACTTTAATCGCTAAGACTTGCAAAGACATCCAGTAATCACCTAAACTTATTGATTTTCAGAAATTAGAGCTTTGCGTCGACAAAAACCAACTTCTTGTTATATATCACTATGGGGTTGTGAAGATCATTACGTTTTTGATTGAGATCGTGAACGGATTGATGTTAGACCACCACTAAAAACCTTGATGGCAGTTTCGTCCTATTGTGGGACTCCCCAGCAGTGCACATCCACGATCCCGCACGCGGGATTAGAACTCAGGGCCTCAGTCTCGCGCGTGAACGCTTGGACTCGAGACCACTTGGTCGGCATCCAATGGTGTTAATGTCTAACCTGAACTGACCCACGAAATTGTGCGACCATCGTCCACTGTACTGAGGTAGATACCTTTCTCTACTCAACACGGATTAGCTCAACTGGCCACGGCTTCTCAAAAGAACTCCGACAATTCCCTCACGAAGGTAGTCACTAGTGAGCACGTGGTAATGGTCATTATGGGGTTGTGGAGATTATTACGTAGTAATTTCCAGTGCTTCCAGGTTTTCAGTGGTGGTCTAACATCAATCAGTCCAAGATCTCGATCAAAATTCGTGGTATATTTTGGAAAGGCGTATTCGAATTAGTAAACGCAAGGATGCACTTGACCAATAATTGGAAGATAATGAGGTAGTCAAAATGTGCAATAATTCAGAAACTTGTAGTCCATTAGTCTAGATAAGAATAAACGGAGAAAATACATTTTCGTGAAACTGGATTCAGTTTGGATTATGCAATATGAATTTTATCATATGGCTCCTCGATATTATTTACCAGTTAACTTTATTATTTATTAAGTTTACATGGTTAAAATATTTTAATTTTCAACTTAGATAAACAGACGTTCAAGCAAATGATCAATAAGTTGTTTTTAGATACAAATGTTACACATACAGATGAAGTAACAAGGACGAAGAAGTACCGAAAAACTCCAATCAATGAGAGAGATAACAATATTACTAAAATAATAACTAAGCATGTAAGTAATCAAAAAAATGAAAGGACATGTAATTCTCAGTTTCAGAACAATAATGATAAGCCGTTAACCGAGAAAGCGAAGGAAAATTCTATCCAAGTAAGTGATAAATTACAAGGTTATTTTCATTTATCTGAAAACATTAGTAAATTAGTAGTCGCATTCTGCTCACAACAGTCCTTCTTCGACCAAGTATCAAGGTCAAATGTGATTAGCCCTTTGACGTATTTACTCTGGAGATGAGTGGAGAATTGGCGAAAACCTTGTAATCTTTAATTTAATCCTTGGTTTTTCAATTACTAACTAATAAGTAACTTAGTCTTATCTTGGTTATACATATACTAGAGTTGAAAAAGGTTAGGTGATTTATAGTTTCAAACATTTCTAAGTGGAAAACAATGTTTAAGAAAGCTTCGATTGATCTAACACTGATTAGCCGTCCGCCATAAGTCAGTTTACCGTAGATAAATTTAATGTTTCATTTCATTTTTTCGAAAATGGTATATTTAAACGAAGAAACTGTTTTCAAAATACACTACTGATTTTCTGAATTCATAAAGGTGTGGCATCGACTTTAATATCAGGAATACATGGAAGTTAAGGTGGAGGAGAGGGAAAAACACAAAAGAGAACATATTCTTAAAAAAAGGTTAAATTCTGATAACAATAAATGTAGTACAATATATATTTGAAAAAATAAATAGGGAAACCCTTAAAATGAATATATTCTTACACAAAACTCGTCTGAATTTCCATGAAAATTAGATTGCAGATAAAAAATCACGTGATCAGACATTATCAAACTGGTTAAGAGCTAAAGTTTTACAAAGAAAAAGTGAAGAGGAAATGAGACGATATGAAAATGAAGAACAACAACATCTGAATGTTGTGCATTCCAGAGAGGCATGTGAGCAGGCATTTAAACAGTAAGTTGGCACGATTGTTAGACTATTTAATTTGTGGTGAATTAATGTAATCTATAATCATTTGGATTTGTGAAGTGTTGTGTTCTATGGCCTGCTAATTACGTCACGTGTTTAGATTGCCCAGTTAAAACAGGGACTCCCATGACCTTGATACTATACCAGATCAATGACGGATTAAGCAGGGGTTGAACTTCTACCGGGAGGTTCACTTGTTGACTTAGAATATGCAGATGACATAGTTTTATTTGGTGAAGACGCTGACAAAATCCAGTCTTCTGACCACTCTAAGCAACAATGCAAGCATGTTCGGGATGCGATTCTCCCCCTCGAAATGCAAAATGTTGCTTCAGGATTGGGTTACATCGACACCCGAACTAGTGATAGGGAGTGAAGTAGTTGAGTGTCTCGACAGCTTCACTTATCTTGGAAGTCTCATCAGCCCTTGTGGTTTAGTGTGTGACGAAATTTCAGCGCGGATACAGAAGGCTCGACTAGCTTTTGCCAACTTGCGTCATTTATGGCGTAGGCGAGATATCCGTCTACCAACCAAAGAACGTGTTTACTGCGCAGCAGTTCGTTCCGTCCTACTTTATGGCAGTGAAACATGGCCGGCAAGAGTAGAGGATATCCGTAGGCTACTAGTATTTGATCATAGGTGTCTTCGAAACATTGCTCGTATATCATGGGACCATGGAGTAAGTAACACAGTTGTTAGGAAACGAGTACTAGGTAAGGATGGCAAATCAATTGATGAAGTAGTGAAACTTCATCAGTTGAGATGGCTGGGACACGTGTTACGTATGCCCAACGACCGACTGCCTCGACGTGCTATGTTCAGTGGTATAGGAGTAGGTTGGAAGAAAGCTAGGGGTGGCCAGACCAAAACATGGCACAAGTCCATGATGTCACTGACAAGTGGACTGAGTCATGTTGGTAGGTGTAGACTACCTGGTTGGGGACCGCGAGATGATAGCAACCGATGGTTAGAGACCCTGAATGACATGGCTCAGAATCGTTTGCAATGGCGCAGGTGCATCCACTCTGTGTTTTCCCAAATTCTAATCTTCTGAATTCTTCATGTCCCTTTTTTTCCTCTTTCCAAATTTATTTCACTGGATTATACTCTTTAAATAACATCTCCAAACCCTAATCTTCCCGATTACTGCTTATACTCTTATTACCTCTACCACTATGGGATTTGAATCGACAAGTGCATCTCTGTGCTAATGTGGTGTGGCAACTTGAACTGATGTACGTACGTACGAAGTTCTACGTTGTTACTGACTGACTGACTGAAGCAGTACGAACAGCGTATGGTCAACTCTGATTCCAGAACACAGCTTCTACTATATGTATCGCGTATTTCAGACATATGCAGTTTAAATACAAGCAAATTAGACCGCATCATACTATGAAGTAGAAAACAGCAATTATACAAGATCTGACCAAATGTGTATGTGTGAGATACTGTAACTAATAAATTGGTAATAACTTAACAATAGTAAATCATATAATAGTAGTCAATAGGTCAAATGGAAAATATATGAATATATGTATAAAATACTTAAGTTATCCAATAAGAACGTATATATGATAACAGTCCAAAAATAGTCCCCAGAAGTCACCCATAATTTAATCTTCGCTAGGATATAACATGGAGAAGCTGTAAAGTTGACTATTTCCATTAATATAGTCTACAGAAGAAAGTGAACCGTGTTAGATTAAGAAGCAACAAAGTATGCATTTAAACGAAGACCGTATCTCGTTCAGCTTGTTATCAAGGTGACATCACATTTACCATAAGTATTAGTAGTTAAAACAAAGTCAAGTGTTTGGTGTGGTATTCAGTGAAGGATTTTAAAAAGAACGAACTAAATAGAAAACAGCACTTTCCACTTATTGATCTAATGCATATTCTGGATTATCTTGTAATTCATATTGAGTGACATATTTGGACTGCAAATTTAAAGGGTTTAAAGCCTTAAAGAAGGCGAAGTATTTACATATTATGACCCCCTTTTTACTGGAAGTTTTTAAAGGTAAGGTTAACCCTTGGAAATACTCTGAATCTCACTGAAATATTCCAATTTCAATTAAAAGATACTGAATATAAAAATAATACAAAGCTATAGTACGTTAGTTCATTCACCAAGTACTCTGCTATGAGTTACATTTCAACTGCGAGAACCAATGATACTGCCCCCCGTGCAAAAATCGGAATAGGCAAGGGTGTTCGAGACGGACTGAAAGGTGACTGCCCTAACCACTAGGCAGCAGCTCAACGAAAGCTACATAGAATTTTGTTTAGATAGTTTAATTGTTTCCGTAAACCGTTATCACACTTCGACAATGAGGGGGTATAATTTTACTTTTTAATTCTAAAGAACAGCTTATCATAAACATTTGTGTGCTTGATTGAACGTGTGAACTCTGACAAATCTCAGAATATTATATCGAACGGGACGAAAGGTTAGGGTACCTTCCTAATTCACACTGTAAAGGAACTATATTCATTTTACAACCTCATGTGTAGTTCAAAGGAAAGTAATGGCTCTACAAAGTAACCCTATAAGGAGTGAGCGTTTTATTGTGATATCTGTTCAGTTGAACAAAAGTTTACACAAAAAGATGTTTGTACATAAACTTCTAGAAAACAGCTGAAATGCCTTTTCGCTTCATATAAATGTAGACTTCAAATCCGATCTCAGTATTTAAAAACGTTTCCGTTTTAGGTTAAAAAAAATGAAGTAGTGTAACACCACGGCTGTGGCTTACACACAAAGATAATGCATTCAGCGAACCAATTGAGATATTGCTAATTCATAATCACACCAACTTAGAGTGATATTTTGTAGTGTGGGATTTTTATCATAGAGTTGAACAATATTTCAAGGATTTCACTTATAGCACAATTTCATTGACTTGGCGAACCTTCTATTTAGTTTCAAGAACCATACATTCAAGGTGATGAAACCAGTTTTAAATAGGAATCCACATTAGGTATCATTACCAAGGTTTGGTTTGATAATTTCGAATAAATAGAGCATTAGGGAGATTGTTATAAATAAATAGTATATTTGTAATATCCCAATGAATAGAAAAATTAGATTTTCTGACGTTTCGTGGCTTAGTGTAGGACACTTCTTCAGAGAACAAATAATCAAATTAATCCAAGTTTATTGTTCCGTTGTACTATTTAAACTTGGATTAATTTTAATTTGGTTCTTCATTCTCTGAAGAAGTGACTTACACTAAGCCACAAAACGTCAGAAAATCTAATTTTTCTATTCATTGGGATATTACAAATATACCATTTATTTATAGGAATCCACATTATTGCACGAGATTAAATTATAGAATCCAATTTAATTTAAAATAACACCAAGGACTTTTTTCTCTAATCAGGTGGCTGAAGAGAAAAAATCGTGAGGCGAAAGAACAAAAACGGAGGGCGAAAGAGCGGATGAAAATCACACGACAGTTAATGAGAGGTAATCATGATTGGCAACAGTTCATGAAAAACATCCGAAAATTCGACGTATTTAAGATCCTACTTTGAGCAAAAATATTTAATCCATTACGTGTTGCACAATGCATGTGGTTTCGACAAGTCGAAGCAGAAATCATTTTCACGTTCATTTTTACTCAGTACGCGTTCGAAATGTTGAAAATTAGGGTGAGAATATTCGATATGTTTTATTGTAACACAAAATATGAAGTACTTTCTTATTAATAGACTCATCTTATTCCAATGTTTACCAAAAATGTTGAATGTAATATCTTCTATATATGTAAGCCCAGTTGACGTAGCAAGCTAAAACGATCATTCAGGGAAGCCCTATCTACTGCAATAACTTGACTGCATTGCCCTCACAATGCTAGAGTGTAACATTTATCTGACCGTCGAAACCGACTGATAGATCATCAAGTAGGATTTTACACAAATGTGTAGTTATCATATTTAACATACCAAACGTCTCAATAAGATGAAATTAACGATATGATTAGTAGAAAATGGGAATCAGATGCAGTAGAGAGCTCGAAATGGAAAACACAAAAATGAACAAATAAGGTCGAATAATCCAAAATACAATGACCACAGTCGGTGTAATGTGAGGGGATGGAAGCACAGCTTTATATCCAAACTTAGGGTTCGCCAAAGCTGAGAATAGAAGTACCATAGGAAAGGTCAGGGACTCGAGATAGCCTTGATAACTACCATTATCCGTCCAGGCGATGGGGAGGTGAAAGCCAGATTGGAGAATATTTCAACCATACAGATTGTGATTCTGAAGACTTCAATTATCAGTTTGGGTGCTTGCCCATAGAGAAATCATTTCTAGGATCAGAGGGTGTCGGGTGACTACTGGTCAAATGAAATGGACAATCTTAGGAAGTATTACGCAGTTTATAACTAATTTTGGTTAGTATCACTACCCATCTGACGTCTCTGGCATACTTTGCTGGACAAAGACTGGTGCATTGACTCTCATATGTGATGCCGTGCAAACCATGTATGACTATGAATTGTGACAAAATCACTTTGGGTTTAACTAACAAATGTCTAGAACAAGTTAGTGTAAACCTCTTAGTGGCACTCACTCTTGCAACCATATTATACCAAACTAACCTAGATACGAAGATAGACGTTACTTCGTCGGAAAGTTTTAGAACTTACAGAAAGCGGTTAGAGAAATCCTGCGAACATGCTAGGTATAAGTTACCCCTAAAGTATTGACTCGAGCACATGGTATAAAACAAGTGTTCAAATTACAAGTACAGTTCATCAGTTGACTGATCACTGCACAGTGACCAATATCAGGTTAATCTAATTTTTCAGTACTGATAAGATTTTATCGATAAAGTTGCAATACAGTCATTAGTTTGAGTGACCACACATTGCGTGTCCTGTATTGAAATGACTGGTGATTTGAGGTACTTAGAAAGAAATCCAGGATCTCCGTTTCGTGCTAGTAGGCACTAGTTATTACCTCCAATCTTGAGGGGACTGATGATCCCTTTGGGTTTCCTCCCGAATACCCTTAACCACTTAACATCTCAGCATAGTACATGCGAAGTCGACATGTTCAAACTAATGGTCGTATTGTAACTTAATCGATAGAATCCGATCAGCAGCAAAAGACTAAACCAACTTGGCATTTATCACTTCATAGTGGTCAATCAATTGTGGATATGTCTTATAGGTTGATCCCCCTCGATCTGTTCTCAACTAATGACAGTTTCACCATACGTCTTTAGTATGAAACTCACTCGGGATAATTATGTATAAGGATAGAAAAGTGTTATCTAGTTGCCCACAAATTTCATAGTGACCAGTGCTGAAATTCAATTCAATGTACAATGAGTTTTAACTGTCAATCGACTGAAATTTCATGCAATAAACTTTAGGTTAGATAAGTTTCTAACTGGTGTCAATGGAAGCAGAAATCCCGTGCAGAAGACTGAAAAAATGAAGAACTTTTAATACAATTTCCATTTCTTTTTTAATACATGGGATGTACACACTTAACAGGGAGACGTAATTATCTTTTGAAACGTATAAGAATAAGATCGATCCAACTATGACATCCTAATGGAGCAAGAAGTTTGTAAAACTCATCTAAAACATAAGAAGAAATTAGAAATACATCATGCGGATACGATAAACTAGTTTACAAAAGCTGCACAATCAACATAAAATTAGCATACATACAGGTTAGATAGTGAAAGTTAATGACATCCCTGAAAGCCTAAAGATTTTCTCCACAACTATGTAACTAGGTCACATTCTATCGTTATGGCTTACTATCAAAAACTAGCAGGGAGAACGTTTCGATCTGTCAGTATGAAAAAAACTAGTTCGTCTTTTTAACGAAGATAAAAAAACTTGCAAAGATAAAGGTCTAAACAATAGATACAAAGTCTTTTGAATCAAAGGAACAAGACATCATTCTCGTGAAATCGTATGTGCATAATAAAAAGACAAATATAAGCAATGACTGGAAGAAAAAGACTTGAATTCCTTAGTTTGATTAAATCCTAAAACTTGGTAATATGAAATTCCTAAAATTTAAAATCCACAGAATAGATGAAATGTGGCTAACAATGGAATCAAAGACGCGCGTTTCTTCCCGCCTAATCAAATTCCACTTATTGCATAAGACACCAACTGCGTCGAGACAATCAGCGAAGGATCCACATATGGCAGCCAATACTGATCAGAATCCATCACACATGAAATTTAGATTGTATCTTCGAATAACGTGAGATGATTTTAAAAGGTGAATTTTTCAGAGAAAGGCGTAGGTTTGTGATTGGAATTTTGTGCAAACATGCATTCTAGTCTATGTATAGAATTAAAAAGTACTTTTAGTGACACAGTATGTTGTTGGTACCTTTTCAATTTGTATTTCATAAATACTGTTTGTGAATGTATCACAGACAAGCAACATGAGAGTGACGATTCTTTGACACTATCTGGAGTAAGCAACTTCTTCTTGTAAGCGCTAACTAGGCGTTTCTACATGAAAGTACATATGTAGCATGCGATGTTTTCTACAAGAAAACAGTCTATGACCGTATCATTTAGTCATCGTTGATATGCAGGCCTTAATGACTAGTATGATTAAAAAAATTAAGATGCGGATGGACGACACTCTGATCAGCAATCAATCGAAAATACGTTCACATGAAAATGGTTGAACTAGTAAGCAAATAAATACACGTTACGCAGGTTTTATTGATTAGTATGTTTTTTCTAGCATATGTTAAGCATAAACGATACGTATGATTTATTATAGGATTTATTTATGCAATTGTTTGAATAGTTACGTTTTCTCACTTAAAGCTCAGCTAGATATTTGCAACCAAGCCAAATCTAGTTGGCCCACTTTTCCTAATCATTAACTTTTAGTCAGTACAACGAAACATAATCAGTTATGTAAAAGTTGCAGATAGTAAATGTCTTCGTAATTATCTACTATGTATGATAAAAGTATAATAAAATATAACAATATGCTGAACGCAATTTTTCTCGTTATCAAGTTTAATCAAGATTAACACTTTAAACAGATATCTCTAGATCGATAACCGAAATAAGTTCTATAAGCAAAGATGGACGGTGTTTAGCCATGGAATCCAGGACGCGTGTTTCGTCCTATTTGGGACTCGTAAGTTAAATATATCCGCATTCCAGAGTTGATGTTCACTCTGGGACAAGTCCCAAATAGGACGAAACGTGAGTCCTAGATTCCATTGCCAGTCACCATCTTATTTCCGTCTATAATGCTTGTGAATTCAGGTAAATATTGAGGCAATCCGTACATATATCAATAAGAGACTGATCAATTGCAGTCCTAAACATCAATCGGAAGTTTCAAACAAATAATACAAAACGAGAAAAGCTCGTTTTAGTGAGAAGAGATTATAAAACTAATATTATTTAAAATGTTTAAAAAATTACCTGAACTTAAATTGCGTATCCGTCCACTAACCCAACAAATTTGCATAAATTCTGCTAATCGAATGATCATTAGTTCTAAAAAATCAATTTGTTTATCCCCTGACGATTCATGTTTCGGTAGCGAACTAATCAAGTTACACTGTTCATGAACTTGAGCAATCATTGATTCCATATAGTAAAATTCTTTTGTATACTCCATCTTTCGCGAACATGTAAGAAGCCAAGTTGAAAATCCAGACTGTCCGGGAACTCCACTGCCATGACGGTGGGAAGCAAGACTGGCAGGTTCTGACAAACACTTATGAGTATGTAGTGAAAATAAATATTATTTTATGACAAGAGAATAATTTAACTTTGATGTACAACCAATCAAATAAGTATGAAAAAGAGTTGACCAGCAAATACAATACATTCATAAGCGATACTATTGTGAGAATTATTGAAATCTAAAACGAATGAATTTCATGAACAGCAAATTGAAGGTTTGAAAGCCTATTAACTCGGATGAATCTGCACAATTTAGAAGAAACCACCTAATTATACGAAGTTGTAATCGTATTTGAGTAATAAGAACGTCAGGAGAATTTTTTTAAACACTAAACGTATCCCTATACGTTGAGAAACTGATGACATATTTAGCAAAAAAACATGATAGTTTAATAAAAAGGACATACTACGAATCACCAAATAAGATAACAAGTTATCGATGTTATTTGGAAGATCACAAAATACTTTGAACTGAGTTCCAAGAGTATATATATATATATATTCCCAAAATTGTTCATAAGAAGTGAATGATCCAAGTGCAACTAGAACAAGATATTGATGGACTAAACAAAGAGCCTCATGTGTCATAAGAAATGCTTTTGTTAACTACTTTCTTTAGCTAAGCCATTCAGGAAACCTGATGCACAAACACAAAAGGCCTACAACAACGATCTGCATTACCGTCCTGAAACTATCTAAACGAACGCCTCGTCAGTTAAGTTTCATTAATTAACGATGCGATACGGTATCCACAGACTAGTTCTAACAATCAAGTAATAATTGATTGAAGGACGAGTGACCTACAAGCTCATTTCTCCAATTGCCTATGATATTTAACTATGGTTATATTGTATTCATATCTTGTGTAAAAGCATGTCATTTAATACATGAAGAATCAGTCATTTGGCTAGTGGTTTTGCCTTTGATTTCTAATCATTCAGGGGGCCTAAGTCAATTATACAGTATCGCGAGTAGCCATCACTACCACACAATACCATTGGGTTCA